TATTACTGTTGAAAATGCAATGAAAGTAACAGGAATAAAATAATTTACTAAGGTGGTGTATTTTTAAAAGAGATTTATTTTCTTCGGTATTGTAATGAATCAGTAGGAAACACTTTAAAGAAATGAATTTTCATTTGGTTTTATGGAAATATAAGCAAAAATAAGTGTGATATACAGTTTAGAACACTAATTTCTAAAATACATTCTGTAAAATACAGCTTCTTGGGATTAAATTACCTCGAAAAGCTTTCTGTTGTTAAATAAGTTTGAGAAACCACTGGATTAGACAAAAGTAAGTAGGTTTGCATATACTAAGATTTATCAGTGTTAATATGCTCATATATACTCTAAATCTCTCTGAGTAGCAGTGTGACATGTAGTTTTTTCAAATTTATTGACTAGAGAAATCTTTAGAACATCATCTCCTAAAATTACATACAGGACACATTTTGGAAAATGTTAAGCATTTGTGAGCAGACACTTTACCAGGAGATCTGGATGGACAATGAACTTCACGACAGGAACGCTTATCAAATTTATCGTAACAATGAATGATTCTGATAATCAGATGTTCAGCAACAATATAGCACTACTCATTAAGATGATAAGGGTTCATGCAGAATAGGTCTTAGTGAAATAAAAATCTGCTACCTTGAATCAAGTATGTATGTGGATTGCCCAAACCAAGAATGTTTATACTTTAAAGAGAAATGCTTCAGCTCATGAAATGGCTATAGCAGTATGCATGGGTGCTTGGCAGTTCATCTGCAACCTGGCATAGACCCAGATTTCTTTTTTTAGTTTTACTATTAATTATTCATATATTTTTTAAAGCTTCAATTAAAATAAGGTTGAAATGCATACTTTAAAAGACAAGAAAAACAGATAATATTAAAATTATATCAAGACTTTGGAAAGGTAACATGCATTAGAGAATACAAGATTTAGACTCTAACCTGAAGAAGCAAATTATTTGACCAACCAAATGATAGAATTTGTTCAGACATACTGTTAAGATAGTAAGGTATATAAGACTCTTACGTCTTATCCTCTCCTAGAAATTTTTCCCAATAGACAACTTGGATATTTTTCTCAAGATTAATGGCTTTTAAAAACTGTTTTATTACACATCTCCAGTGTATCCCCCTCTCTCTTTCACACACACACACACACACACACACACACACACACCGCCAAATTTTTGAATCTTCTCTTTTGAAGTCCAAAAGAGTCTTCATATTAAATAAATAAAAATCGAAAAGGTGCAATTTCACCAACCACAGAAGATGTGTGAAGACTGGTCTTCTGAATTCAGGGTTGCCCCAGGATAAGTGAGTCCAGGGGAGATTAAATGAATTTCCCTATTCATAGAAATAAGAAAGTTCCCACCTCCTTTATTCTCCCCAGTAAAAAGCTTCCCCTATCAAATGACCTGGTGGCTGTTCCAGGATGGACTGCTTAGACTCTTAGGAGGGGCCCAAATGGCAGGCCCGGTCTGGGGTTGCGAGTACTTTTCTATTTCTCAGTGTTATTGTGCTCATATATACTCTAAATCTCTCTGAGTAGCAGTGTGACATATAGGTTTTTTAAATGTATTGACCAGAGAAATCTTTAGAACATCATCTCCTAGAATTACATACAGGACACATTTTGGAAAATGTTAAGCATTTGTGAGCAGACATTTTACCTACCAAAATAGTAGCAAGTTTCTTCTAACAAAGCTATGGGACCCTGAGAAAAGAAGCTCAATATTCCCCTGTGAGGATCTTTGTGGGTCT